GAGTGGAGAACTCTTCTTGTGAAATATTTCTGGACTTTTTCAATTGTGTTAATATCAGATACGTAATGTGGGTTCCAGACTGATGAGCTGTACTCGAATATTGGTCCAGCAAATGTTTTGTATGCTCTAGTTAGTAGTATAGTATTACCAGAGAAAAAGCTACGTAAGATTAGGTTAACAACTCTTAATGTCTTTTTGGCTATGTAGTTACAGTGGGGCTCTAGCACTTAGATCATTTGAGATGAGAATTCCAAGGTCCTTTACAGAGCTTGGGTCATCAAGAAGATCTTGACTATTCAGCTTGTATTTTAATTTCTGATTTTTTTTGCTAATATGTAAGGCAGAGCATTTATTTGTTGAGATTTGAAGTTCCCATTTGTTTGACCATTCTGATACATAGTCAAGATCTTTTTGGAGGGTAGCAGTATTGTCTGTGGTGTTGAATAGCTTTACATCATCATGCAGTTGCTCTTGATATGATCACAGAGGTCATTTATGTAGAGTATGAAGAAAGTTGGTCCTAGAACACTGCCTTGGGGGACACCACTGTTGACAGGTACAGAATTTGATAGGACGCTCCCAATTTTTACCATTTGTTGTCTGTTTGACAGGAATGCTTCTATCCAGTTGTGCAGATGTCCAGAGATACCGTAAGATTTTAGTTTTAGGAGTAGCTTGTTGTGTACCACTGAATCAAAGGCTTTACAAATGTCTATGTAGATTGCGTTGATTGCTTTGCCCTGATCAAGTTGTGTAGTCCATATGTTTTTGCAGTGCAAGAGTTGCAGATTACATGGTAGATTTTTCCTAAAACCAAATTGTTTATTAGAGAGTAGGTTGCTTGTCTCTAAGTGGAGGATGATGGAGTGGTTAATAATTGATTCCATGACTTTACAGGTGACGCAGCATAAAGAGATTGGTATGTAATTTTCAACAAGGCTGGGGTCTCCCTTTTTGAAGATGGGGATGACCGTGGCTTGTGACCATAGGTTAGTCAAGGAGTTGTTCCTGAAAGATTTTTCAAAGATTATGCTTAGAAGTTCGGCTATGGCAGTGGGTAGCTTTCTTAAGAAGTAGGCACATATTCCATCCGGTACAACAGATAGAGATGGTTTTAGATTGCGTAGTGCTTTTTCAACAATGTCTTCTGTAAAATCGATATGTATTAAATCATTGTAGTTGTCTATGGTTCGACTAGGAAATACTGGGCATGATCCATTGCTGTTTACAAACACTGAGCTAAAGAATGTGTTAAAGAGGTTGGCTTTGATGGTGTCATCATTGCAGTCTTTGCCATTAGATCCTTTCAGGGGTGGGATGGACATTGAGTCTTTTAGTTTGTTGTTTACAAAATTGTAGAAAGCTCGGGTGGAATTGGTACGTATAAGGTTTTCCTCTTGTTTAATGTGATAATTAGTGCATTCAGTTTTTATCTGGTGGCATAAATTTTTGTATCAGCTTTTGAAGTTGGCAACATGACCAGATTTGTTTTTCCGCCAAAGTGATCTCTTTTTGGATTGAAGCTTCCTTATTGTTATGGGTAATTTGTTTTTTTCTGGTTTTGGGAGTTGTTATTGGTACAAATAGTTTGATGACTCTTTTGACTGCAAGTAAAAATATGTTGTAATGGTCTTCTACAGTATTGCATCCAGTGAACAGAAAGTGCCAATCAAGGGAAGAGAGATTGTTGATTGTAAGACCATAGTTGCCTTTTTTGAAGTTATAATTGGGGATTCTGTCATTGTGATGATTTTTGTGTGGACGTATGTTGAAACAAAAGTCAATCATGTTGTGGTCACTGTTGGAAAAGGGTTCTTTAATGTATATTCTGTAAATTGAATTCAAACTATTGCAGAAGATGAGATTGAGGCAGTTGTTAAGCCCAGTATTGTTGGTTACTAGTTGTTCCAGTCCCAGATTTGTTACAGCATTGTAGATGGTTGCATGTATGGGTTCAGTTGTACATTCGTTTAGGATCCAGCTAGTATGGGGTAGATTGAAGTCTGGAAGACAGGAAAGAAGGAGTTTGTGTGTTTTCTGGAAGAAGCTACTGAAAACAATGTTTTGAAGGACTCAAGCTTCTCAGCCATGTAGGACCTTAAGAGGTTAAAAACAACACTTTGAATTTCACTCAGAAATCTACTTGAATGCATTTTGCCAATCACCAGGAGACTGGGTGTTCTAGTCCTGTCTTAGGCATGAAAACCAACTGAGTGTCTTTGGGTCAATCACTAGGAGACAGTGAGTTCTCGTCCAGTCTTAGGCATGAAAACCAACTGAGTGCCTTTGGGTGAATCACCAAGAAACTGGGAGTTCTAGTCCTGCCTTAGGCATGAAAACCAGCTGGGTGACTTTGGATCAATCACTAGGAGATGGTGAGTTCTAGTCCAGTCTTAGGCATGAAAACCAGCTGGGTGACTTTGGGCCAATCACCAGGAGACGGTGAGTTCTAGTCCTGCCTTAGACATGAAAACCAGCTGGGTGACTTTGGATCAATCACCAGGAGACTGGGAGTTCTAGTCCTGCCTTAGGCATGAAAACTAGCTGGGTGACTTTGGGCCAATCACCAGGAGACTGGGAGTTCTAGTCCCGCCTTAGACATGAAAACCAGCTGGGTGACTTTGGATCAATCACCAGGAGACGGTGAGTTCTAGTCCAGTCTTAGGCATGAAAACCAACTGAGTGCCTTTGGGTGAATCACCAAGAAACTGGGAGTTCTAGTCCCGCCTTAGGCATGAAAACTAGCTGGGTGACTTTGGGCCAATCACCAGGAGACTGGGAGTTCTAGTTCTCCCTTAGGCATGAAAACCAGCTGGGTGACTTTGGGCCAATCACCAGGAGACTGGCAGCCCCTTAGATATTGGAAGACCCCTATTATGCCTCCTTCCTCTTTGCCCCAAAGTTTACTTTTTCATCCTGCTCTGCCATCCTGGTTTGTGGCTTTGCCTTCTCTGTGACCTAGTTTCTCTCTCTCTCTCTCTCTCTCTTTCTCTCTTGGCGGGTTAAGCTCTCCCCATGGTACGTTGCAAGCTTCTCCGGCATCTTCCAGCCAGACAACGCCGTTTAAGAAAATGTTCCCGACCTTCGGAAGCCCTGGTGCTGCCTCCATCTCCTTCTCGGCAGGAGCCGCCTTTTAGTAGCTCAAACCGTATTCCACTAAATTAGAGCCACGTTGATTTAGACAATTACTGGGTCAATCGTGCCTTCAATTCTGGGTTTCACACCGAGATAACAGCCTCTGGGATGGGGGCGGGGGAGGCTGAGCAGAGAGAATTGGGGGAAAAGAAAGAAAGACTGGACAGCTGGAACTGGTGAGCTGCAATCTCCTAGGTTGTGATTTTCCCGAAAAGGGTAAAAAAAATAAAAAAAACAAAAACACGCCTCTGAAGGACAAGTGACAAATTATGTGTTAGGATATTTTGAGAATTTCAGGCAGGGAAGGAAGGGGGGGGGCGGTTAAATCGGTGACACTCCTTAAACCCTGGGCCCAGCCTCTGAGATAACTTCATTTCACTCCAGTCAGGTGAGCCTTAATTTGCTCCAGGATGCAATCGAGATCAAGGGAGGTACTAATACCATTTATTTAATGTATTTGCTTATTTATTTGATTCGTCAATTGCTTACAAGATAATAGGTATAAGTATAAACATGAGTAAGAATGCAGGAAACAGGTTCGAATAAATGGGGACAATAGGACGGGGATGATGGTGCACCTATGCACACTCCTTACGGACCTCTTAGGAATGGGGTGAGGACCGTGAGGTCAATAGTGGTTAGTTTGAGGTTAAAGGAGTGGGGGGTTAGAGGGTGTAACAACACAGTCAGGTAGTGCGTTCCAGGCATTGACCACTCTGTTGCTGAAGTCGTACTTTCTGCAATCGAGTTTGGACCAGTTTACGTTGAGTTTGTATCTGTTGTGTGCTCTTGTATTGTTGCAGTTGAAGCTGAGGTAGTCATTGACGGGACTAGATAGAAGGTTGTAGCAGATAATTTTGTGTCCAACCATAGGAGGCATAGTTCAAGGTTGTCCAAGCCCAAAATTTCAAGTCTGTTGCGAGCAGAGGAGTGGAGTAACTCTTCTCATAAAATACTCTGGACTCGCTGAATTGTATTAATGTCTGAGCTGTATTCAAGTATACTCCAAGCCATAGTACAGGGGTGTCAAACTCAAGGCCTGGTTCCGGCCCCTGGGGGTACTTAGATCTGGTCTATAGGGCCGGCATAGAAATATCAAAGGACCAGCCTGTGGTGCCTCTACTGGCCAAAACGGGCCATGGGGAATGGGCTGGCATGCGAATTGCCATTGTTAAGACAACATGCCACATCATGCCACACTGTAGGGCTGCGATGCTTAATGACAGAGTTCCCAGTCACAATGGCCGTCCTAACCTGAGGATTACCTATATTCACTCTATCTCTATCCGTCTCTAAAAATCAGTGGGGGTAACGAGTTCTAATCCCGTTCAGTCATGGAAGCCCACCAATGGACTTTGGGCTGCTTCCTGCCACTCAACTCAAGAGCCAATCAGATGTAGTCCCTCCTTGGTCAATTTCAATAGCTGATTTTGGACCAGTCCTGTCATGCCCCTGTCGGAATCTGATTTGGAGGGGGAGGCTGAGCAGCTGACAGGGAGTGGGAATGTGGCTCCATTGGCTGTGGAAGAAACTGGGAAAGGGCAAAGTCCGGTGGGGCAGAGCAGGGAAGAGGGAGAACAAGGGAGAGGGAATTCAGAGGAAGACCCAGGCCCACCCCCTCTTCATCCTAGGGCATGCAGGGAGGAACGGAGAAGGGAGCAATGTGAGTTGCATGACTTACCGGGGAGGAAAGGGCCCTGATTCCCTTCATTAGGTGTAGCTGGGAACACAGTGTTTAAAAAGGGAAGATGCGCACAGCAAAGTTGTTGGAAGCAAATCATGAATTATCTGTTATTGTCCGGGCTTATCTGGGTTCCTGGCGTCTTCCCAACTGTGTGTGTTTTGCTGGCCTTTCAAGTCTGAAATTCCTTCTCCTGCCCTGTCCAGTTAATTACTGCAGTGTGGTTTGTGTGGATTTTTATTTACACTTTGTACATACTTTGTTTTCGGACTGAATTTCCTCCAATTTAAAGACTGTTTTGGGGAGAGTATTTTCTCCGGCCAAAGGTAACCTGGACATTGGGGGCAAAGTGGGAGTTATTAAAGAGACTCTTCTTACTTATGTGACGGTGTTGCCTTTGCGCCACGCCCCGGATCATCACAAGTCCCACTCTTGCAGCCCAATCAGGAGTAATGGAAAGGGGCTGGACGAGGAGGGGGAAAGGTCTGGGTTCTAGTCCTTCCTTAGCCCCAGAAGGTTCGTGAGAGGCAGGATTTTCAAAATCTCTCCAAATCACCACCCTTGTCCTCCATAAAGGAAGTCAACGTTTCATTCTAACGAATAAAATCCCACAGTCAAGACAATGTTCTGGTAAAGGACAGCCCAGGAGCCTTTGAAGGGCACTAATCTACAGTGGCCAGCCTCTCTCCACCTTGGCCAGATGTTGTAAATCATCCCCATCTGGAGAGCTGCAAAGATTAAAATGTAATTATGACAAGGCAGTGACTTGAGTATCAATCCATGGAGCCGCTTCAGCAAAAGAGCTATCAGAATCCACGCGGCTCTGATGCCGACTGGCATAAGATGAGGGCTCTTTCCTACAATTTATTTATCAATATCTTGCCTTTCCTATTTCTTTTTTATAAACTATCCAAGGTGTTGGACCTATCGCCTTCTTCTTCCTGTTCTCCCCACAACCGCCACCCTGTGAGGTAGGAAGGGAGGAGAGAGGGGTATTGGTTCAAGGTCACCCAGCCAGATTTCATGCCTAAGGAGGGACTAGAACTCACCATCTCCTGGTGATTTGCCCAAAGTCACCCAGCTGGCTTTCATGCGTAAGGCAGGAATAGAACTCACCGTCTCCTGGTGATTGGTCCAGAGTCACCCAGCCAGA